CTGCTCATTCCTGCGCTATCCCCATGATCAGTTGCGGATCGGACTGTTGTGACCCATAGGGTTTTCACTGGCTGATTTTTGGAAGTAGCTCGCCAGGCCTTTCTTCCTAGTCTGTTTTACTCTGGAAGCTCTGCTGAAACCTGTTTAGCATCGTAGCAACGTGCAAGCCTCCACTGACAGATGAGTGCTGGCTGTGCATGAGGTGCATTGGCTGGGAATTGAACCGGGGTCCCCTGCTTGGCAGGTGAGAATTATACCACTAAGCCACCAATGTCTGCAGTCGGAGTTTTTACTGCTCTTGATTCCCAAGACATTCCTGTGTGCACTGCTGCCAGTTTTATGTGCCTCCCCCATCTGTAATTCGCACAGGTGTGGTTTGGGACCTCAGCACAGGACCGTATATACTGTTAGATTTTTTTCTCTCCAGACTATTGACTTTTTGGCGCCTAGTCCTGTCACTCAGCATAGCTTTATCCCTCCTATTTTCAGTGTCTGCCTATTTGATAAGTGTGTCTTCTATGTCATTATTGATCGGTATGTTGAACAGGACAGTTCTGACCACTAATAAAGACCCTCCCCCCAGTTGATTATCCAACCAATGGCCAGCAGTCCTCCCAGCCTCTGACTCCCAGTAACACTCCGAGGGGTCCTGGCAGATCTGTGAAACTCAAACATCAAAAGCCTGAGTAGCAAACTCCGATGCCTCCAGGGGCTTGGCAGTTAACACAAAGGAATGAGGTGATAATTAATTCAGGCGATTGATAAATAATCCCTGACCCCTGACCTTGGTTTCAAGGAGGCTGTGTGGAGTGGTGAAGCGGTGGTGAGCCAGAACAGCTATATTCTGGGTGAGTGGCAGCCACTGCTCAGTTCTAGAAAATTTGCCAGGTAGGAGTGTGGACCTTCAGGAAAATCTGGGACTCATGTAACATCTCATGTTTTTTTTTTTTTGTTTTTTGTTTTAAATTGTGCTTTAAGTGCAAGTTTACAATTCAAGTTAGTCTCTCATACAAAAATTTATACATACATTGTTATGTGACCCTAGTTACTCTCCCTATACTGTGACAGCACACTCTTCCTTTCCACCCTGGATTTCCTGTGTCCATTTAACCAGCTCCTGACCCTCTCTGCCTTCTCATCCGGACAGGAGCTGCTCTTGGTCTTTTTTTAACGTTAGGAAAACAGAAAGCCTAACACTGCGTAGTTGTTAGCTGCCGTCGACTCAGCTCTGACTCAGGGCAACCTTATGTACAGCAGAACGAAACGCTGCTGCTCCTGCGCCATCCTCACAGTCTCCAGCATGTTCAAGTCCATCAGCGCAGCTCCTGTGCCCGTCCATCTCATTGAGGGTCTCCCTGTTCCTCAGTGGCCCTCGCTTCACCAAACAGTGATGTCCTCTTCTAGTGATTGATCCCTCCTGAGTTGGACATGGTTGTGTTGTGAGCCATAAGGTTTTCATTGGCTAGTTTTCAGAAGTCGATCCTAGGCCCTTTCTTCCTAGTCTGTCTTAGTCTGGAAGCCCCGCTGAAACCTGTCTACCATGAGTCACCCTGCTGATATTTGAAATACTGGTGGCATAGCTTCCAACATCATAGCAACACACAAGCCACCACAGTATGACAAACTGACAGGTGGTAGAAACCAGTTACCATCGAGTTGTGACTCATGGAGACCCCGTGTGTGTCAGAGTAGAATTGTGCTCCATGGGGTTTTCAGTGGCTGATTTTTCAGAAGTAGATCACCAGGACTTTCTTCTGAGACATCCCTGGATGAGCTCAAACCTCCAACCTTTCAGTTAGCAGCTAAGCACCGTAACGATTTGCACCACCCGGGGACTGAACACTGTGAGCCAAACAAAACAAATCTGTGGTGTATTTGGCCTGCATGGTCACTGCCAGTTTGTGACCTGTCAGCCATGCTGTCTCCCATCTGCTGGTCCAATGACCGCATGACACAAAGCAGTAAAATTAGTTGGGCATTGATGGTTTTCCCTTGCACCTGACTTCTTGGGGTTCCTTTAGTTACTCATTCAGAACTCTTACCGGGGGCTATTCTCAGACTCAGTAGAGTAAAAGTTGTGAATGACACTTGCCCTTTTCTTGCTTGCTGACACCTTCTCCAGATGGTAGGATCTCCAACAGGTATTGAGAAGTGCACCAGTGGGATCCCCTGCCCTGGAAATCTGCCCGCCCATGCTGGCTTCACTTCTCTCATATCTGGGTCTTATCTTCCCTTTCTCCTCTTTTTGGTCTGAAAAGTATTTTCCTTCCCAAGGAGTTCAGAGGCCCAAGAGCAGGCCTAGCCTGTCCCCATTCTTGTTCACACACCAAGAATAACTTTTTAATCCCTTTTGGTTGTCTTGACCATTTGGAGGAAGCCCAGCTCCTGCAGCATTTGTCTTCCTGACACTGGCTGTGTAAATCCATGCTGCTCTATCACGTTTCCCCTTGAATACGCATGTTCCTTCTGTCCTTTATACGTGAGCGTGTATACTTGGACCACTTCAGATTTTGCAGCCTTTGCAGCCACAGTGATCGAGGTTTCTAAGAAGGAAGGAAGGAAGTGCTGGGTGATCAGCCACATTCCTAGATGTCTGAAAGGTAATCTTCCACCAGCGTCAGAGAGAGGCATACGTATTCCGTGGCAAAAGTCCCAGGAAGGATTGTCAGCTCAGTGTTGGGGATGGGAGGCCTTTCATTCATCTGAGAGTTGTCACTGCACCAGCTATGGGCAGGAGGCACAGATATCATTAAAATTTGGACGTTGCCTTGAAGGAACTGCCGTCGGGAGGGGGCAGCAGCTGCTTGGACAAATAATTACCTGTGGCTTGGCATATAAAGTGCTGATAGAGTCATGTACAAGGTGCCATGGGAACCCAGGGGAAGGAGCCACAGGTAATTCTGCCAAGTAGGTTGGGGAGGAGGTGACATTGAGCCGATGCTTGAAAGATAAGCCGGAGTGGCCTAACAGGCTGTGAACAGCATTCCAGGCAATGAGAATTGCATATGCAAAGAAGCTGGGCAACATCAGAGAACATGGCCTATTGTAAAAGCGTTAAGGTTCCTCTGTGGCCAGAACAAGGGCAGCGATGAGGATGAAGAGGGAACATCAGGCTGGAACCTCTGCTGTCCTCCTGGGGCTGATCCCAAATCCCAGCTTACTGCCACTGCTCTGGAGCCGATGATGGCTGTGTTTGATGGTCTTGGGACTAGTATCACTATAGCCGTTTGTTTTAAATACTTAACGTTCATTGTGAAAGAATTTTGAAGTTGTAGAAAAGTTGGAAGAATAGTACATGGGATTCCCATGTATCTAAAGTGTTTACATTTGTCATTCTCTGTCATTATGTACATACTTTTATGTATACATATAATTTTTTTCTGAACCATTTGAGATTAAATTGGAGATACTGTGTCCTTTTTACCCCTAAATACTTAAAGTGTGAATTTCCTAAGAAAAAGGACATTATCTTACAAAACTTAGGACAGTGATCAAAATCAAGAACATTACGATTGACACAATATTCTTATCCATCGTCCATATTCAGATTTTATCAATTTCCTAGTAATGTACTTATAGCTAATTTTTTCACTTTCTAAGATCTACTCCATGAATCCTGCACATAGCTATTCTGTCTCTTTAGGCTCTTGCCTGCTGGAAGAGCCTTTGTTTGTCTTTTTTGACTTTGAAATTTTTGGAGAGAATAATCTAGGTACTTTGTAGAATGCCTTTCAATTTAGATTTGTCTGATGCTTCCTCATGATTAGATTCAGGTTGTACATTTTGGCAGAAATTCTGTGAGTGATGTTACGTCCTTCTCAGTGTATTTTGCCAAGAGGCACATGATGTTGGTGTGTCCCGATGTCGGTGATGATGATGGCTTTGATTATTTGGTTAAGGTAGTGTCCACCAGATTTCTCTACTATAAAGTTACTATTGTAATTAAGGAATTTGCGAGGAGATACTTTGAGATTATGTATACCTCCTGTACCTCATCAAGCTTTCACTCCTAGTTTTAGCATTCATTGATAACTAAATCCATCATTCCTTCTATATTTTTTTGTTGGCATTCTATAAGGAAGGGCTTTCCCTTTCTGAGGGACTAATCTCACCAACACAGTTCTGCATCTTTCATTGGCTTTTAACTTGCTGGACTAGATTCTCCTGGGCCCCTTCCTCTTGTTTCCTTCCCGCTGTTCTGTGCTTTAATGAACATCATGTGTATCATGGTGGTTCCTGGGCTTGAGAAGCCTGGATCTTTTTCTGTGCAGCAGCTCACTCGTCATTGGTGTGACGGGCTCAGCATGGGGCTAACTGCATGCATTGGCCACTCAGCGGTGTCTCCACCAGCCTGGGTCTGAGAGTGGGAGTGTTGTCTTGTCACCAGGTCGCTGAGCTCAGCCTGGGCTCAAGTAAGGACAGTAGTGGGGAGAGAAGAGAACTGTGGGTTCCGTCCCACTGAGAAGCTATGGCTGACCCCTAGTCCAGGCTGAATTGGTTCATCAAAGCTGCCCTTTCCCTACCCCTACCCCTACACACACACACTTCACACTTCGAAGTATCACACTGTTGCTTGGTTGGCTTGATTGGCTTCCTTTCCCTCCTGACAGTAAACATGGTCCTAGTGTCACTCTGGTTATCGTGTTTTTTTAACAAACCGCTTGTTTCAGGGAAGCCTCATCAATGCAATTGATCTGAGGCTCCAAAAGGGTCAGAGCAGCATTCACAGTTCCACATTAGGGTCTCTTAAAGATCTGCTTTCCATTTCTGCTGGTGAAGCAAGGAAACATGGGAAGATGAACTGAGGTTTAAGAAGTTATACCAGAGATTGAGAGAGATTCTGCAAGAAAAGTGGGATTTAGATGTGCGTTTGAGTGGTGTAGAACAGGGCGGTGCTTTCCAAATATCATGGCTCATCTTTCTCCCCCCTCCCCCTTTTTCCCCTCTCTCTCTCTCTCTCTCTCTCTCTCTCTCTCTCTCTCTTTCCAGACAGGCTCAGAGCTCAGCCCAGTTGATGGACCCGTTCCAGGTCAGATGGACTCAGGGCCAGTGTACCATGGGGACTCAAGGCAGCTAAGCGCCTCAGGGGTGCCAGTCAATGGTGCTAGAGAGCCCGCTGGGCCCAGTCTGCTGGGGACTGGGGGTCCCTGGCGGGTAGACCAGAAGTCCAACTGGGACGCTGCCCCAGGCCCAGCCCATACTGCTCGCCTGGAAGATGCTCACGATCTGGTGGCCTTTTCGGCTGTGGCCGAAGCTGTGTCTTCTTACGGGGCCCTTAGCACCCGGCTCTATGAAACCTTCAACCGTGAGATGAGTCGGGAGGCTGGGAACAACAGCAGGGAACCCCAGCCAGGGCCTGAGGGCTGCTCTACGGGCAGCGAAGACCTGGACACGCTGCAGACGGCCCTGGCCCTCGCGCGGCATGGCATGAAACCACCCAACTGCAACTGCGACGGCCCGGAGTGCCCTGACTACCTCGAGTGGCTGGAGGGGAAGATCAAGTCTGTGGTTGTGGAGGGAGGGGAGGAGCGGTCCAGACTCCCAGGGACTCTGCCTCCTAGTGAGGCTGGCCTCCCGGCACCAAGCACCCGGCCACTCCTCAGCGCCGAGGTCCCCCAGATACCTCCCCCGGAGGGCCTGCCCTTGTCCCAGAGCGCCTTGAGTATCGCCAAGGAGAAGAACATCAGCCTTCAGACCGCCATCGCTATCGAGGCCCTAACGCAGCTCTCGTCTGCCCTCCCCCAGCCTTCTCACTCCACCTCCCAGGCTGCTTGCCCACTGCCTGAGGCCTTGTCCCCTCCTGCCCCTTTCAGATCTCCCCAGTCCTACCTCCGGGCCACCTCCTGGCCTGTGGCCCCCGTTGAAGAGCACCCACCCTTTGCTCCTGATAGCCCTGCCTTCCCACCAGCGACTCCTAGAACCGAGTTTCCTGAATCCTGGGGCACTGACACCCCACCAGCAACTCCTCGGAGCCCCTGGCCCATGCCGCGCCCAAGCCCCGACCCCATGACTGAACTGGAGCAGCTGTTGGGCAGCGCCAGTGACTACATCCAGTCAGTATTCAAGCGGCCCGAAGCCCTCCCCACCAAGCCCAAGATCAAGATTGAGGCCCCAGCTTCTTCCCCAGCCCAATCTCTGTCTCCCATCCTCCAGAGGGAGGCTCCCCCGCCATCCTCGGAGCCTGACACCCACCAGAAGGCCCAGGCCGCCCTACAGCAGCACCTCCACCACAAGCGCAGCCTCTTCCTGGAACAGGCCCACGATGCCACCTTCCCTGCTCCCACAGAGCCTCCTGCTTCTGGCTGGTGGGCCCCAGCAAGCTCACTGGCCCCACGGCCTCCAGACAAACCACCCAAAGAGAAAAAGAAGAAGCCCCTGGCACCCTCTGGAGGCCCCATGGGAACCGAGAAAGCTGCCCCTGGGATCAAGCCCACTGTCCGAAAGCCCATTCACATCAAAAAGTCCAAGCTGCGGGACACACAACCCCTCTTCCTGCCCCTCCGGCAGATCATCCTGGAAGGGCTGAGGTCCCCAGCCCCCGAGGAAGTGCAGGCACATCCACCTGCCCCCCTCCCCACCTCACAGGGCTCTGCTGTCCCCCTACCCCCAGAACCTTCTCTTGCGCTATTTGCACCAAGTCCCTCTGGGGACAGCCTGCTGCCCCCTACTCAGGAAACGAGGTCCCCCAGCCCCATAGCCACTCTGCAGACTGGCTCCACTGGCCCTCTTCCCCCTGCTGATGACAAGCTGGAAGAGCTCATCCGGCAGTTTGAGGCTGAATTTGGGGATAGCTTTGGGCTTCCAGGCCCCCCATCTGTGCCCATTCAGGACCCCGAAAATCAGCCAACGTGTCTCCCGGCCCCTGAGAGCCCTTTTGCTACCCATTCCCCCAAGCAAATCAAGATCGAGTCTTCGGGGGCTGTGACTGTGCTCTCAACCACCTGCTTCCATTCAGAGGAGGGAGGCCAGGAGGCCACACCCACCAAGGCTGAGAACCCACTCACACCTACCCTCAGCGGCTTCTTGGAGTCGCCTCTTAAGTACCTGGACACACCCACCAAGAGTCTGCTGGACACGCCGGCCAAGAGAGCCCAGGCGGAGTTCCCCACCTGCGACTGTGTAGGTAAGTCTGTGTGGGTGTCAGGGAAGGGCAGAGAGCTGTGGCCTGGTTTGGGTTTCTAGTCTCTGTCTTTCATTTGGCAAACATTTACGGTGTGCCAACCACCGTGCCGAGGCTTGGGGGCACAGAAATGAGCTTGTGGGCGATGGAAAAGACATTGAAGGAGACTGGTAACGATACTGTGTGTGCCATGTCAGTAGAGCTGGGCACAGTCTCAGCTTGAAGCCAGTGAGCAATAGCGCAGGCAGTAGACTGTCGGTGTCAGAGAAACCCAGCAGTGGATTGGTAGCTGTTACCTTGGCAAATGAGGAATGGGGAGGTAGACAGTGGGCAAGAGATACAGCAAGCAGAGATTCCCGTCCTCACCAACCATTTATTGCTCCAATTTGTGTATTAGAAAGCTCACTCTAAACAAAGAATTAGAACCAAACCTAACTTGTGTTAACAAATGTTAAGTCATGGGAAGATGTTTAGGTGAAAACAGCAGAAACGAATAGTATCTAAATGATTATCTCACCAAGCTTGAAAAAAAATTAGAAAAAAGACTAAAAGGAAATATATCCTAATAATTAACAGTGGTTGTCTCTACAGTCAGACTACGGGTGATTTTCCCCTCATGTGTTTTCTAAAGTTTTTTAATGAAATATGTATTTTATAATCAAGAAATATTTTTGAAAGTCTGTCTCAGCAGTAGCATGGAAGATGGATTGGTGGAGCGTGATAACTTTGTATCAGGAGATGATTTAGGAAGTTGTTGAGAACAATAATAATAATAGTATTTATGAAACACTTGCTCTATTCCAGGCACTGTGCCAAGTACTTTACAGTCATCACCTCATTTATTCCTTATAACAGCTATATGAGGTGAGTACTTTCCATAGCTCCATTTAGGAGCAAACTAAAGTTAGATTAAGTAATTTACCAGGGTCATCCAGCTAGAAAACGGTAGCAGTGGGATTTGAGCCTAGGCAGATGGAATCTTAACCATTAAGCCATACCATGACTGAGACTGTTGAGAAATAGGTCCTAACTAAAAACAGTGCTGATAGGAAGGAAGAGGACCAAAGAAGAAGTGATCAACTGGGAAACAGTTTCTGGAGGTGCTGGGGTTTGTATTAGGGGAAAGCTCTTCTGTTTCCAAGAAGTGTCTGGAGCCCGCAAGTCTGGACAGGAGCTTCCATCATCTTTGTCAGCTTGGCTCAGGACAAAGTTTAGGAATAAAAGCTACTCACGTTGGGATTAATTTCAGACGGAACCTTCCCATATTCCAGAAACTCATCCACTCACCAGTGGTACGTGCAGTTTTCAGGTCAATATAAGGAAGAATTTTCCAGTAGAAGTCGTCATGAAATTTGGAGACACCATTAAGCTCTCATAATAACTGATTGATACTAAATTATGGGAAGAGCTTTATAAAACCGTAAAAAGGTCTTACAGCATAGAAAAAGAAGCCTAATATTCAAGTTCCTTAGTGATTTTTGCCAAATAAGCAATTTTAGCCAATGTGGGCATCACCAGGTAACTAAAATTTTACCAAGAGGGGATTATTTTACCCTTGCATAAAGATTATGGTTTCTGAAGGTATGGATGGGATTATATGGGCTTGTTCTCTGAATCTTGAAATACTAGAATTAGAGGTACCCTTTGAAGCGTCACAGAAGAACATTTAAAAGATATGAAAGGAAATGCCTTAATCCAAAAGGTGTGTGATGTGTACAGGTTTGAGAAAACATAGCAAAAGTTGAAGTTCTATGGTGAATTATTCAGAGGGGAGAGTGTTGATACATTTCTAGTATTTTGAGGCACACATTGGAGATGCCCCTAACCATCCCCTTAACCATCTCATAACACCATGGCCAGAGACAAGACAATGAGCTGCAGAGCCTGCTGGCATATTTTGTCTATTTCCAGTAATGGGGAAATTTCACAGGGGGAGCCACTTTAGGACAGGGAATGAGTCCAAATGACTTTTTAGTGGGAAAGCATCCTTTGGGATCATTTATTCTGACTTCATCATTTTATAGATGATGAAACAAGTTCATGTTACCTTTTAAGTTTTGTTCTGATGTTTACACGGAGCAGGCTATAGGCAGCTGGAGAGATCAGAGTGTAGCAAAAGCAGGAGGTTAGGAGACAGAAATGTTAGGAGTTGCCTTCATAGCATTGCTGCCTTTTCAACTAGTTGATCTTCCTGACTTAAAGAAGCGGCCAAAGGCCAATACAGGAATAACATCTCTTTTGCTCGGGGCCCGGTAGAAGTGAGGGACATTGTCCAATGAATGTGGCTGACGGCAGCAGCCACAGGTACCATCAGCCTGGACCCCAGTTCTCTGTTTATAGGGACTGTAAAGTCTATTTCTTATAGTTTCTATCTTTGTGAGAATTTGTTTCCTCCCATTTGTATTCAGTTTGACATAAAGAAGAACTTCTTGTCTTTTAAATTTTTTTTAGATGACAGAATATTTGGACACCAGGTGTAGTTCTTAAAGTTAACACCAGTGTGCACCTTTGAGCATTCTGTTGAGCTTCTGCCCTGCACTGGGCTGGAAGGTGTCTCCATAACCCTTCTAGTTCTGAGTAGACCCTGGACCCTAGGGCTCCTTGGGAAACTCTTGTTTTACAGTAGCTAGTAACAACTTAGTATCTTAGAATCTTTCTAGGCGTTTGGTAGCTCTCAGCCAGAGCCTTAGACTTTGGTGTCTACATCCCACCTTGGAATGTTTTGGCACTGAAAGGCAACCTCCAGGGCTCCGGCTCCCACGCAGTTAACACAGATGTGGATAGATAGTTTAGGTTTTTTTTCCTTTCTTTAGATCTCTTTGTAATTCCTGATAATGTTTTTTTTTAATGGCTTCTTTTTTTTCTTGGTGAGATTTGTTAGAATTATATCTACGTTATTGGCTTTTTTAAAAGAAGAAGACTTTAAATTTATTGTTATTTTCCATTTTTATTAAATCAATTTTTACATTTTCTCTATTTCCTCTTTCTACTTTATTTAATTCATCGTGGTGGTATATCTGGTTTTTTTATTTGAGCATATGACTTAGTTATTTTCATTTTGATGAATTTTAAGAAATACATTGAAGCATTGTTACCACTTCAATTGCAACTTCAGCTTTATCCAACCAAATTTATTTTATAATACTTCTAAGTTTTATTTTCAATATTTATTTCCACTTTGATTGAGTCTCTTACTAGGGACAAGATAGATGAATATGATAGAGATGTATATGATAAGTGCTACAGACCAGTGCTGCCTGATAGAAATATAATACAAGCCACTAATGTCATCTTAAATTTTCTAGTAACTACATTTAAAAAAAGAAACAAATGAGATTAATTGTAATAATATTTTACTTAACTCAATTAAGCCACAATAGTTTTTAACCTGTAATCAATATAAACATTATTAGAGATATTTTAGCTTGTTTTTTATACTGAGTCTTTGAAATGCAGTGTGTATTTTACACTTACAGCACCTCAGTTTGGACTATGTACATTTCAAGTGCCCAATAACTACATGTGGCTAGTGGCTACTTTTATTGGGCATTGTAGCTATAGACTGTAGCATGTTCACTGATGAAAAGATGTCATAGTGGTTCACTTAGTCAGTCAACATTTACTGAGACCCTACCATGTGCTGAATACTAGGCTGTAGTGCTGAGGAAGGGGCTGATAGAGCAGTGGTCTCCTCAGTGGGCTGCATTACAACCTGGGGGCTGCACGTCATCATCCTTTGGAGTATGGGAAGAAAATTTTAGAAGTATTTGCATTTCTTTCAAATGTTTTATTTTGTGTGTGTTATGCACTAATTTGACTACAGTGGCACATGTATACTTTATAAACATATATACTAATGTTGGCTGTGTGGTCACTGATGAGAGGGTACAATAAAAAATTAGGACCAGTAGTCTGGAGAAGACACAAATAAATGTTATGGGTGCTATTTTAGATGTGTGCTCAGGATGCTGGAGGAACATAAAGATGAATTTGACCCTAGATAGGAAGGTATCAAAGAGGGCTTCCTGGAGGAGGTGATGTCTGATCTGAGTTTTAAAGGATACAGAGAAGTTGATAGATTAACAGGGAGAAGGTGGAGTGTCCCAGGCAAAGGGGCATGAAAATGTGGAGGTGAAAAGCACACGAAGATGTAGAGATGAGAGAACATGGAGAAATGTGAGTAGTTCTGGTGTGACTGGTGAGAGATTGGGAGTGGCTGGAAAGGAGAGTTTCATGGGAAGAGGGATGATACCAAAGGCAGAGAAACCAGTTTGCAGGCTCAAGCGTAATCTACTCAAGAAATAATGGGGGCCTGAATTAAGAGAGTGACATTAAGTAGGAGGGTGGAGAGGAGGGGACAGGTAAGAGAGAGAATAAGAAAAAGAATTCACTTATTCACTTATCAGTTGGATGTAGGGGTGAAGAAGAAGACTCCCAGCGCTCCTGGTTGGGTGGCTGGGTGGGTAGTGGTACCATTCACCAAGATTAGAAATACTGGAAGGGGAAAGTTTTGGACCTTGAGATGTCTGTGGCACCTGGAATTATCCAGCCAGTTGGATCTATAAATTGGAGGTTCCTGGGCAGACTAATGGTAGTTGAAGTTTCCATCATAGTCATCTCATCAGGCTGAATATGTAGATAAAAAGAAGCCTGAGAATGGAAGATACCATCGTTTAGGGGAGGGGAACTCAAACAGGAGGCTGTGAAGGAGGTGTGGAAAAGATATGGTAAGAAATTGGGGAGAGGGTAGGTTAAAAAAACTAACAGTTTCAAGGTCGGGAAGCTGACAACATCAGTACTGAAGAAGAGTCAAGATTTAATGTTGCATTCTTCTTTGTTTTACGTTATTTGTTATTTTATGTGCTTTAGCGGTAGTCTTTTCGATAAGTTGACTAGGTTCGTTAGGAACAGGGACTGACTGTTGTATTTCTAAGGCATCTAGGCTGCTGCTAAGCATATGGTAAGAACCCTGCATATTTTTGGTTAACTGGTCAACCTTTTTC